CGTCCTTAACATTCGCGGTTTAGTTTTTGTTAACGCCAACCTAATGTCACTCTTAACATGTATTTCTTTGCTTTGTTTTTAATTTGGAGAAATGTTAAAAATCTATTTAAACATGCTGAAACATATATATATATATATATATATATATATATATATATATATATATATATATATATATATATATATATATATATATATATATATATATATATATATATATATATATATATATACATATATATAGTTACGCTTACGTCCACGGGTTGTTAAATGTGAGTCTATGTAAACCTATCCAGACATATGTTATACCCTGAAAAAATACAAAACAGTAGATTAAGGGCGCATTATTAAGATTAAGATTAATGGTTTATCTATAAAGGTTCCAAAAATATTATTTACCCGACTGTTGAGAAAATCGATCTCCTTTTCCGAGTTCAAGATAACGAGGTTTGAACCAATGATTGAGCAAATTTCCTGAGCATCATGCCACGTTTTTGCCTTCATATATAGGTAGTAGCAGCTTGAAGCAAAATAAAACCAATCCTTACTTGGGCACGGGGATGCTTTGAGAACATAATTAATAAAAACACTTAAATCGTTGAAGTTTTTAGTTTTTAGACCGCTGTAGTAATTGATTAACTTTAATAATGTAAAAAACGGAAACATAACACAAACGCAGACACCAATACAATCCCAAACGAAATCACAAACATAAATACAAACATTAACCTGAACAACAAACAAACAAAAACAATCACAAAGAAAACACTCACTTTAACGAAAGTAGGCGCCATAGCGAACACGACAGCGCCCGCTGTGCCAAATAGCAAACTGTCGGGGCGCCGGAGGACGTCATGATTCGATTCAGCTAAAGACTATAGTAACCTATTTTATCCATAGTATTGCACTGTTTAAATTATGCACCATAGCGCTCACAGGATAGCCCAGGGCGTTAAATCGAACCCTGCCGGGGCGCCGGCGAACGCGCCTGCTTCAATTTAGTGAACGACTATAATACCCCAAGCCTATTCGCAAACGGAAAGATTGAAGAAACAGAGTTAGAAAATTAAATTTGTTTGTAATATCTTCAATATTAATTGTTTATGTCATTAATTTAGATAATGAGCACTTGGCGATGAAGTCAATTATTTTGCTATATTGCTTTCTAATCACGGATTAGCTGTCAGCTACATAAACACATACATAATTTAACAGAAATTTACTTTTGAGCTTTGCGCAGTGGCGGTACCATAGCCAATGAGGTTTTACCGAGGTTTGACACAAACAAAGAGAAATTTACTCCACTCGCACATATACACTAGAGTCAAAGCAACATCTACAATATGGTTGCACCCACTTTCGTGATTCCTCTGGCAAAAGCTGTTGAGAGGAGCTGCTAATGTTACGGCACTAGCAGCTTAATGTAAACCATGGCTCCATCCTTTTCAGGAATAACAGTCACCTTAGACCAGTCTAAGGATGATTGTCCTGTTCTTTTCCACGCAACACGATGCAAATCACTATCAATAGCAGAGGTATACCTAACCTTAGAGACCACGTCATTAGGAAGCTGATTAGCGACAAACCCATTCTTCTTCTCAATAATATATATATATATATATATATATATATATATATATATATATATATATATATATATATATATATATATATATATATATATATATATATATATATATATATATATACACACACACATATATATATATATATATATATATATATATATATATATATATATATATATATATATATATATATATATATATATATATATATATATATCTTCCTTATTCTGTTGTAAAGGACACTTACCTTTACTTTCTTTTGTGCTCAGGAATAGCACCACAATTACGAAAACTCGTTGATAATTCATAGTTTTTTGTCCCAATATTCTTTAAACAGAAAAAGATGTTTACGTTATTAATAATATTTACATCTTATTTTGTACATGTAACACTAACATGTACAAAATTGGCATGTATTTGGATTGATGTTTTTAATCTTTGTGGAGATCATTTTTTGATCGTGATGATAAGGGGGAAACACAAACACAACACAAACACAGCACAAACACAGCACAAACACAACACAAACACAGCACAAACACAACACAAACACAACACAAACACAACACAAACACAAACACAAAACAAACACAACACAAACACAAAACAAACACTACACAAACACAACACGAACACAACACAACACAAACACAACACAAACACAACACGAACACAACACAAACATAACACAACACAAACACAACACAACACAAACACAACACAAACACAACACAAACACAACACAAACACAAAACAAACACAACACAAACACAACACCAACACAAACACAACACAAACACAACACAAACACAACACAAACACAACACAAACACAACACAAACACAACACAAACACAATACAAATATAACACAAACACAACACAAACACAACACAAACACAACACAAACACA